AAAATTAAGCTTAAAGTCAATAGAGTTCATTGTAGCACAGAGAGAGCCCATTTGATCCAACAAGGAAACAGAAAAAAAAATCACATTACTTGTGCCAGGAATACATCTTCAGTATTAATGCCAAATTAACATTTACTGTGTAATTCTGATACTACTGATTCCTTTTTTCCTGCAGGAATATATTTGGCATTGCATGCAATTCCAGGAACCAGTAGCTGCTGAAAGCATCTCATTAGAAAGATGGGTTTTGCAATGATGTAGGGAAATGGGAAACTGAAAGTGATATGTCATCCTGAGCTCTTACAGAGGAACATAATAAAACCACAAGACTGAAGAAAAAATCTGGATGAGGTTTCTCAAAACCTTCCCAAAATGTGTGAGTACATATTGAATAGTTCAATAGTTCATCTTAATATTGTGATAGTGTGGAAGGATAATTGACTTTGAAATATGCTTGATTCAATAAGCTGGAAATGCACTGTATCAAGTGATCCATCCATCTATTATGTCCTTCTCTGAGGCAGGTCCGATCACTAACCTCACAAGTCTTAAGCTCCTGTGAGAGAATGACTGACGTTTTTCCTGGTGCTGCTTTTTTAAAAAAAACTTTATAGCACCTTTTCCTCAGTGGGTTAAAATCAAAGCTAAAGAGATGTCCTTTTGATTCCAGTTTGTGGATGTGTATGTGTTTATTAACTTGCTGAAGTTGTCCTGGAATGTGGCTGAAACACAGTCTTACTGACTCAGGGCTACAATTGCTGCCCATTTGTAGTCACTCCGTCAGAGGTGAATACTCTGCAGGGTTTAAACCCAGTTCTGAGAGGCCATAGGCCTAAAGTGTTGGCATAAATACAAGTATTTCAGGGGGAAAATATTCCAGAGCATTGCTTTGATCATTTCAATGAGTAATTAATGGACATAGTAATTAAAAATGCCAAACAACTGGTTGACTAATTAAATCTCTTTTCAACTCAGACACAGAGCAAGGGGAACAGAGTGGACACCAGACAGTGATCTTCAGGTAAGGGGATGAGGGCCAGAAACTGAGACAAGGAATCAGATTTAATGCTGTTTCCACCCTGTGTTTGATTATAGAATCCCTACAGTGTGAAACCAGGCTCTTCAGCCCAACAAGTCCACACCGACCCTCAGAGCATCCCTCCCAGACCCACCCTCTTGAACACACCTAATCTACACATCCCTGGGCACTATGGGAAATTTAGCATGGCCAATCTACCTCAGTGGGTTAAAGTCAAAGCTAAAGAGATGTCCTTTTGATTCCAGTTTGTGGATGTGTATGTGTTTATTAACTTGCTGAAGTTGTCCTGGAATGTGGCTGAAACACAGTCTTACTGACTCAGGGCTACAATTGCTGCCCATTTGTAGTCGGAGAAAACTCACGCAGACACAGGGAGAATGTGCAAACTCCACACAGACAGACACCTGAGGGTGGAATCAAACCTGGGTCCCTGGCGCTGTGAGCCAGCAGTGCTAACCACTGAGCCACCGTGCCACTGATAGACTCCATTAATGAACCTTGTGTGTGTGTGTGTATGTATGTGTATGCGTGTGTGTGTACGTATGTGTGTGTGTATGTATGTGTGTGTGTGTGTATGTATGTGTGTGTGTGTGCATGTTGTGTGTGTGTATGTATGTGTGTGTGTGTGTTGGGTGCATGTGCATGTGCATCAAGTATGTGTGTGTGTGCACGTCAAGTATGCATGTGTGTGTTGGGTATGCGTGTGTACGTGTTGGGTGTGTATGTGTGTGTTTGGTGGGTGTGTTAGGTGTGTGTTGGCTGTGTGTTGGGCATGTGTGTGTGTGTCTGTGTTGGGTGCGTGTGTGTGTTGGGTGCGTGTGTGTGTTGGGTGCATGTTAGCTGTGTGTGTACATTGTATATGTGTGTGTGTTGGGTGTGTGTTAGGGGGTGTGTGTGTGTTGGGTGTGTTAGGTGTGTGTGTATTGGGTGTGTGTTGGATGTGTGTGTGTACATTGTGGGTGTGTGTTGGATGTGTGTGTGTACATTGTGTGTGTGTGTTGGGGGTGTGTGTGTGTGTTGGGTGTGTGTACATTGTGTGTGTGTGT